CCCTCTTCCCCTTGCTTGTGCCCACCCCCTTCACACCTACCCCCGTGCCTTCCCCCAGGACGACGTCGGGAGACACAGTGGAGCTGGTGGAGGAATCTTTGGATGTCAACTTGCTGAACAACGCCGTACGCCTCTGCATCCAGGGGTGCCCGTTTTTACCGGGCGGTGTGCACCTCTGCGAAGTGCAGAACCACTTGGTCATCCTGCTGATCACCGGGCAGACGGTGCATCGCCTGCTCCTGCCGCATCCCGCCCGCATGTACCGCAGCGTGAGTACTGGGGCGGCCTGCTCCCTGCCTCCGTCGGCCACCTGCCTCCGTCCTGGCCATCAGGAGCCCTCAGGGAAGCCACTAAGTGCATTGTGAAATAGGAAAGGCCACAGCGTGTTTCTTAGCCTGGGAACAAAGTGCTGTTTCCCACCTGTCTCCTTTAACTCTATCCCTTTGGTGGGGATGGAGTTAATTTTCATCCAGGCAGCTTGTGTGGTGCCGTGTTTTGGGTTTGTGACCGAAACAGTGTTGATAACACACTAACAACTTAGCTTTTGCTGAGCAGTATTTGTGCAGCACCTTCTCTGTTTCTCACTCTGCCCCCCTCATGTGAATAGAATTGGGGGTGTGCAATGGTTTTGGCTGGGATGGAGTTGGGTTTCTTCGCCGTAGCTCGCATGGTGCTGCGTGGCGGGTTTGTGATCAGTGTGGGCACCTGCCAGTGCTTGAGCTGTTGCTGAGCAGTGCGTGCACAGCTTTGGCGTTGCTTGGTTTGGGTTTATTTTTTTCTCCTTTCTCTTTCCTTTGCTTATTAAACCATCTTTATCCTCACACATGAGTCTTTGCTGCTCTCCTGTTACCTGCCAGCAGGGTCAGTCCACCATCACCGAGCCATTTCGTAGCTCTTTGGTGGGGGTCTGTACCCAGAGCTGGAACCCTCTGCTGTTTCCAGAGGTGTAGAGCTGGAGGCTGTCCTGAGTTTTGTGGAAAACTCTGCATTTTGGTTTCTTACTCTGCAAACTTTTCTAGTTAAACTTCTTCAAAGTTAGAAACTCCTAAACTCCAGGGTCCTCTGATTCTTGGCCAGATAGAGCAGGCGTGTTCATCAGCGTGGGGTAGTTCTCTATGTGGAAGTGAGAACTGCTGGAAAAAGTAGTCGGATGGGAAAAGGAAGCTGGAAATCTGTCACTTTGTTTGCAACTGCATGTGTTCAGGCCGCACACGGAGGAGGCAGAGGCCTCGGACTTGAAAGTGTTTGCCCCAAAGCTGAGGGTGTTTCAGATTTGTGAAGAGGGCTCCGGTTTCGATGAAAATCGGTGACATAACCTGAAACGAGGCCTGGAGGTTGGAGGTGGCTCTGCCAGCGCTCCTGGGGCCCAGCCTTGTGGCAGTGGGGACAAAGTACCCTGCGGAGGTAGGGACTGAGTGCTTCAGGGGGAGACCTGGCTGTGTTTGTCATTCAGCAAGGTATTTATTTCACCTGCAAGATGGGTCTTCTGCAAAATTTACATGGAATTTACCCATTTGCTGTGACTTTTTCTTCTGGTGTGTCTTGTCAAGTCCTTTTCCTTTCCTGGAGAGCTTATCCCTTGCTTTTAGAGTTCCAGACAGCTGTCCCAGGCAGAGCTATGGCAGAGCTGCTCTTCACAGGGGTCAGTACTAGCGTTTTGCTATGAGCTGTCCCAAAGCAGCTGATGGACTGCGGGACTCTTTTGAGGCTGTTACAGTAGATGAGGGGGCGAGAGGATGAGAGTTCTGCTAGAAAACTGCAGGTTTCCTTTCATATCTGCTCGTGAAGAGCAGTGATGGTGGGTTAACAGTAAAAGAAGCAGGAGTGGTAGTGACGAGAGAGAGAGAGAGAGAAAAATACCAGAAACATCCTTTTTATCCAGCAGCAGCATCGTACTTGCTGTCCCACAGGTGTCTGTTGTGGTTTTTCGCTGCGTGCCTTGCGTTTGTGTGCTCAGGATTTGTACTCTGCTGTCTCCCTCCTCCAGGAGCTGATAACAGAGAGCCAAATGCAGTCCGTGTTTACAGATATTGGCAAAATCAACTTCCAAGACCCCTCGAATTACTACGTGATTCCCAGCGTGCCAGGCCTGGCGTCAAATTCCGTTGCCTCAGCGGCGTGGCTGAGCAGCGAGGGGGAGGCTCTCTTTGCTCTGCCCTCGGCCTCGGGAGGGATCTTCGTCCTTAAGCTGCCTCCTCACGACATGCCTGGTAAGGAGCGGGAACGGGCTGCAAAACACCGCTCCGTGTGACACCCCCTCTGCTATCGTTGGGTTTGATTGTAGGCCTGTGTCGTGCAAATTCTCTCCGCACGCGCAAAAGCTCTTTCGCCTCGTGCCTGCGAAGCCCCTTGCTGGTGGCAGTAAATACTTTGTTAATGAGTACTCATTTCATGTCCTTTTTATTTTGAAAGGAACGGTTTCGATTGTGGAATTGAAGCAGAGCTCCGTGGTGCAGCGTTTCCTGACCGGTTGGATGCCAAATGCCATCAGGTTAGTGTCTGGTGATAAATAAGTGGGACTAATTTTGTCATTTCCCTGACCTAGAGTTTCTAGCCGGAGTCGAAGACGGGCAAGTCAGCACCTATAAATACTCTGCCAAAAAAGTCATCTGGGTCACGTCGCAGTACGGAAGTTGGGACTTGAACGCTGGATTAGTTCATCTTAACGGGGTCCTGCTGATACTGCGTGTCTGTGTCTATGAACGTGTTATATCTAGTAATTGGCCTCCGAGGATTTGCCCAGGATATGGCCCGCAGCCAGCATGGATTAGGGATTACAAGAGTTGTGTGTTCTTGCCCTTGTTCTGAAACGTCAGGCTTGTTCCTGACCAAGAGAGCTTATGTGTGGGTGACACGGACGCTCTCTGTGCCGGCTGGATTGTAATCCTTACGCTATCGTAGAGCCCCCTGCCAAATTCTGGGCCCTGTTACTTGGGAATGGGAATGAGTTCCCTTCCGCCCTGAATGACACTGACCGTCAGCGCTCCGTTGCTTGGGGCTGGTCGGATCTTTGCTTCCCTCTGGATCCTTCTGCAAACCGGGGTTGGGGAAGCCAGGGATATGTTTCAGCTCCGCAAAGCGGGTGAAGAACAGGGTGTCACCGGTGACGTGGGCTTCTCTGTGCCTTGGGCGCTGACCCGCACAGTCCCAACACGCTGCGCTCTCCTCCTGGTCTCGCACCACTGATTTATTTGTGTTGAAACCCTGTGCCTGGGATCTATTTTAAGCTGTTGAACTAAACTCTCCTTTCAGAGGTGACTGTGGCCCGTCAGACCTGCCCGTCAGCCTCTCTGTTCACTGCCTAGATCACGATGCCTTCCTCTTCGCGCTCTGCCAGGACCACAAGCTTCGGATGTGGTCCTATAAGGTGAGCGAGGCCTGGATTCAGGAGAGCAGCGTCTTCCGTAGCCTGAGGCCTCAGAAACAACGGCTGGGTGGGTGGCGTAGATTTGAGGTGCCGTTCAATTCTACACGCTGGGATTTGGGGTGATTTGTGAAAATGGTCATGGCGTGTGTTTGTAGCCGTGTTTGGAAAGCGGGGTGGGTTGTCCGCAGCCAAGCCGTGTGCGTTGGGTAAGCGGCAGTATTGGGTGATTTACAAACATATGGGAGCATTGAGGAAGTCGTTTGAGCAGGCAGGAGCACTTCAAGGGCTGAGGAGGCACACCAAATGGATTTTTTACTGCTTTAACCGTAGCAAAAATGTCTGTAACGCAGCTCCTTGTCAACAAGAAGTTAATAAAACCCTCTGCTCCCTGCATGCCACTTGCTGCCAGACCTAATGGACCAGCACAACTGCCTTCACGCCTCATCTGCGCTGGAATGCGCGTGTTAAGGGAGGGAGGGGAAGGTTTATCATAAGTGCCTGAGCTCCAAAAGCCCGTGTGCTCCTGGGGGAGGGCACAAGTGAGGCGAGGAAAGCTAAGCAGCGGTTC